AATCTCAAATTCGTTGTTGGTGACCTGATTGAAAGGACCTGACCTCTTGAAAGTTGAAATATGGAAAAATCATCGCAAGCGACGAGAGACCTGCTACCCGACAGACTTCGTTGACACACACACACACAGCACACACACACACACACACACACACACACACACACACACGCCGAGGCGCCGGCTCGCGGCAGCACCGGAAATCGTACGGACCAAGAGGGGGCGGTCTCAGCGGAGGCTCACCCTGCGCTGCGCCGAGTCAGGCGGGGAGCCGCCTGCAGCAGCCGCACCTCGCTTCCGGCGAGGTGCGCCGGCCTCTCAGCCTCGAGCACCTCGGCCGGCCTGTCCGGCGCCGTGAGCAGCCGCCTCCCGCCGTCGCCCCGCGGCGCCGGCGGCGGCGCTCGGAAGCCCGCCGCCCACGGCTTCCACTCTGGCCTCGCTCGCGCCCGCCGTCCAGCCCCTCCGCTCCACATGGGTTTGCGGTGCGGCGCCGGGAGCTCCGACAGGCCTCTTGGGAGCTCCTCACTGTCCTCATCCGAGCTGCTGTTGTAGGCGGAGGCGGGCTCGAGGCTGGAGGCGGGCTCGCGAAGCGAGGCCGGCCATGCGTTGGCAAGGATCGGGCTGTACACCAGCAGCTCCTGCGACGGCGCCCACTCGTACGAGGCGCAGGCACTCGCCGTCGAGTGGGCGATGATGGGCGAGATGATGGGCTCCGGCACACGCCACTGGCTGCCGCGGCAGAGCACTTCGCGCCGCATCACCACAAAACCCGCACCCTGGATCTCTCTCGCCGCGTTTGCCGCGGGCCGCGCCTCCTCCGTCCTCGCTTCGAGCTCACGCAGGCGCTCGAGGAGATTGCGATTCGCGCGGTCCGGGTGGCGCGCCACCTGCTCACGCAGTGACTCGCACTGCGCCTCGAGAGTGGCGAGCACACGAGCAATGGCCGGCTCGGCAGCGAAAGCCATCGTTGGGCTACAACAACGGGCGCCCTACCGACGCTATTGGTCGCCTGGCTGGGGCTCTGGGGATCGTTCGAGCGAGCAGCGGAAGAAGAATTACTAACCTGTTGAGCTGCGCTGTGGAATTAGACGAGGTCCGCGCCACCCTCGTACCGCTGAGCCTGTGAACTGCTGGCGCTGCTGAGCCTGTGAACTGCTGCGCTGCTGGCGCTGCTGAAGCCCGTGGGCATGCGCCGCGGCGGCCCCGCCTTCTCCCTCTTCCGACTCATGCCCGACGAGCTCGTGCTCGAAGTCTTTCGTGCCATCGACGACCAGCGTGCTGCCGCAGCTCTCTGCCTCGCCATGCCGCGCCACGGCGTCGCGGCGACACGGCAAGGAGCGTGCGGAGGGCCGCTGTTTGGCATCGCCATGCGGCTCGCGAGCTCGAGCAGCGGTGATTGGGAGCTGATTCTGCGCCGCTATGCCGCCGGCAGGAGCGCGACTGCAGCCGGCGCGGCCACGCTCGCAGCCTGGGCGGTGGACGGTGGCCAGCGAGCGCAGCTTGACCTGTGTGTTCGAGATCAGACTCGCCGCTGGCATCTCGTGCTACCCGGCCGGGCCGCTCATCGTGCCATCGTCCGGGTCGCCCACCCGCACGGCATCACGATGCACTACACGGGGATCACGGGCGAGGAGCGGCTGGTGCGGCTTGACCAGGCCGACGGGATGAGTAGTTACTGGGAGGGCGAGAGAGGCGCCGAGCGGCGGGTGCGGATGGTGCACCCGGGCGACCGGTGGTCTTCAGCGAGGGCGCCATGGGCGAGGAGCGCGACGTTCGTGTGGTCTTCCCTGACGGGCGGCTCATCTCACTCGAGGGCGCAGCGGGAGGAGCGCTGCGGGCGGCGTGGAGTGCGACGCGGGCGTGTCGCGAGCAGGGGCATCGTACAGGGGGGGGCAACACCCCAAGGGTGGAGCTCCCGGAAGCTGTCGACGGCCTTGTCTCTTGAAGGTCTGAGCTAGCTGCCTTAAAATAAATAAATAAAAACGGACACCTCTCTACTGTGAGATGGGTAAAAAGGAACAGGCCCCCGCCCTTGCGATCTTTGTGCAGGGTTCTTTGTGGGTGTGGTCGGCGACTAGCCGGGGTCGTCCTCCCGATGGGGGACTAGCACTAGCCGTCTTCCACATGGTCCCTCGGGTCCCTGCTGCTCCTAATCTCTTCGTACATCCTCCTGCTGATCTCCGC